GGGTCATTTCTTTTAAGGCATGGGACAACTGTGTCTGTGCTAACAAGAGCTGTGGTGCCAGGTGGAACTTCTGTAATGAATCTTCCTCTTTTAACTGACCCAAGATCTCCATGAATTCCTCAAAACTTTCCTCTTTGGGGATGCTTTTTGCCATTTTGATCATTGCCGTTGAGCTTATTTTCTTGTAAACTTGAGGGAAAGACTGCAATTCTTCCCGCAGCTGCTCCAAGCTTATTTCAGACATCTTTGCAATCTTGGTTAACAGCGTCGCGTCGTTCTCAGTTGCTCATGCACTTTCGAGAATCGCCGTGGTTCAAGGAAAGCCAAATCTTTGTAAAGATCTGCGTTTTTTGAAAATCAGCGATCAATCTTGGCAACTGCTAGGTCCAGCGTGGTCTTGTAAGGATCAATTTCATAGCGGTTTGTTGCTGTGCCATTTGATTCAACTTCATCTGGACCTTCATCGATGGTTAGCCTCTTTCTCTTTCTTACTCTTGGTTCCTTGAGCTCTAATGCAATACCAAATCCTTCTTCAATAAGACTTTTTGCAAATTCCTTGGCGCTCTTATGCGTTTCACAGAAAGTCAAACGCCTCTTTGTTATAGCCTCCCTTGACGGACAATATTTTTTGCGCAAAATAGTCAATTTGGCTTTTTTTCTTTCCAATTAGCGGACAGTTCAAAAAAGGTAAGAGCCAGCGAACAAAAAAAAATGGGACGAATGAATATTTGTTCAAATATTTATTTCAAACACTTTGACACTTGATAATCTAGTTGGCTTTCTACAGCTTTAAGCTTCTTTACAGCCCAGTTTACTAAGTTTTCTTGTTCATGAAAATGGTAAATTACTAGAATCTCCAGACCATAGCAACCTTCACGATTCAACCTCTTTCCAATGTTGTAATGTGTTATGTTCAATTTGGTTAATTTTTTTAATGTCTAAGATAAACCCATTAGCAACTGATTACCCAGAGCACACCATCTTCTTCTGACAGAAGGGTTTGAGCTTCCGACAGGGAGGGCTAAAATGACTAAAATATGCAGTTTTCGTATGTTATTTTGTCAAATTTGCTCTGACAATAACCTAAAATTTCCTCCGATTAGGGGCTCTATGCTTCCGACGGAGGGGCTGTAACCCCTCCCCCCATCCCTCCCCTGGCGCCAGCACTGATTACACATTTTAAATACAAAATTCGGGTCTGTTTTCAAATTTGGGACTTACATTGCAAAACCTTCCAAAAGGCGGACACTTCCAATTAGCGGACAATTTGCTCTTGCCCCGATGGTGTCCGCTAATTGGAGAGAATACTCTACATAATTGACAAATAACTCAATTGTTTTGCGGCATTCATAAACGCATCCACGTTTTATTCTCCTCAACAGCAAAAAGGATGTTTCTGAAGTTAATGAGGTAGATAAATTGATTGTTATATGAAAAAATGGCACGACTTTTCCGATTAGCAAACGTTTTTCTGGAGAGATTAACTAAAACGTTTTGACCGCATCTATAGATACATTTAGAAAAAGAATTAACATGGTTCTAAAAATTTCATATCTTAGCAGAAAGCCAAGATCCCCGTCCATCCATCGCTGCGATCCCTGACCCAAAATCTTATATGAACGCACTGCTATGAGCTAGATCCATAGGAATATCGAATACAACGATATCTGGCAAGTCAATCATAAAGTAAAGTAGTCACTGTGAAAATGAACCGAAGACAGATACACGAAGACTCACTGCAAATGTCTGATTTGAGCAACTTTGAATACGAATTCTAGCCTATACTTTGAATACTATGTTACAGGTAGAAAACATTCAGAGAAACACATTCAGAGAAACACGTTTAGTAATGGATTGAAAAGAAACGCAAGTTTAAAATTTTTTGAATCCGTAGTACTTCTCAAAAGTTAAATAATGTATCTATGTTATGTTAATTACTCCTCTTTCCAGCTATTTCTCCTTGTAATTGACTATGGTTATTATGCACAAATTCAGATGAACAAAAAAATTGGTGTTTAATGAGCGGAGCTGAATAAACAACAAACGTTCCTAGTTCCGAAGGGGAGAGGGGGAAATACCAAAACAGGGTAAAATTAGAAGAGGTGCTCCAAGGATATTTGGCAGACACTGGCACTTTAGTTTCAAAGAAAATATCTTTGTTCTATAAGCTCCATCCTCGTTTTAGAGGCCCGATCCATGATGCATATCAATTACAAATGGGCCCTAAATTTTTTTATTTATAATAATCGGTGTTTGTCTAGACTAGTAGAGCTCTGGGAGCTGATAATGTAAGCAATATTGAAATGTTTTCTTTCTAAGGATTTCATTTTCATTTCTGTGACTTGTTTTCTCTTGAACATAGATATTTTTGAAATTAACATTAGAGTTATTTTCTCGTATTTATTTACGGAGGGCCCGGTGATTATGAAGTTGAGCGTGACCGGGTTGCGATCGCAACCTAGCATCCCTGCCAGTCCGCCGCTGCCTCCTACTCTTTTCGAATTCAAATCAAAAGGAGAAAGGGGCAGATCTACGGATGATACTGCCTCTAAAACAAAGACGAAAACATCGAGTTATGCGGTTGCATAATAGCTCAAACATTTAAAGGCAGTCGCGATTAATTTCAATTAAACTGTCAATTAAGATATTGAAACAAACAAGCAAACAAACAAACAATTAAACAATTTAATTTTGTGGCTGGATTATATCGTAGGCATATAAAAAGGTGCGTGTGAGGCAGGGTATTAATTCAGGTGCCGTTTTGTATAGAAGCACTTGTTCTTTAAGAAAATCTTTGGTATATTTCAAGCCAGCTTTATCACTTTAATCTGCTGATAATAACAGGCATTTTGAAAGTGTGCTACCTTTATGAAATTGGCTAATATCATTCTTCGGGCGTATATTAGCTGAAATCAAAGCATGAATCAACCGAATATTTTATTTTCAGTAAGGAAACCGCCTCATTTGAAAAGCAGATCTGCCCTCATCCCTACTGTATCCTTTGTTTGTTACTAAAAGGTTTGTTAGCAAACTTTGCATTAATCGATTTTCCTGCTGCCTAAATCGGTAAAGGGAAAGATCGACCAAACATCGACAATTGGTAAAGTATTTTCAAGGCTAGTCTTGATTGGTGGGAGTAACAACGAATAATGGAAAAAGGCACCAAGTAAAAGTTCGTAAATAGTGGTAATTCGTTAAACCGAGGTTTCGTTATACACGAAGTAATCAAGGAGGAACAGGCGTTTAGTTTGTAATAGCAAAACGACCCTTACAAGCGGGGATCATTATAACGGGCATCCACCGCATTGCATTGAGGGTGCAATTTTGCATTGCATTGAGGGTTTAATCTATGAGCATGCATATTATAAGGTACACCGCTCCAGCATGAAGAGCATTTAAGCAATCAATGACACAGTTAATCTTCTAACTCAGTGTATGGTGGTCACAAATGTGCTTTCATCGTTCTTTCTGTTTCTCCATTTATATCAGATCAAAATGAGCATATCCAAGCATTCAAGTCTAAAGAAGAGTTGAGAGTTTTCTGCAATTTGACAATCTTCAATACATACCAAAGCTTAAGGGCCTTCTATCCTTACTTACAACTCGGATTGTAGGACTTGCAATCGTCTAACAATTGCCTGTTGTCCCGTAGCTGTCACATTTGTCGAAAATTTAGGGTTTCTTTAGTTCTATTTTATATTCCTGTAAGCTATACTTTATCTTATTATTAACGTGTACTTTGGTTGTGGTTGACATTAATTAGCATTAGCTAAATAATAAATGAAACCGTCCCTAAATAAAGAAGTCGTTTATGTTATTTATTGTATTCGTCGAATATCTAAAGGCTGATACATGTATGTATGGAAACCGTTCATAATCCTTGTTTTCTTTATTATAATGCGATCGTATCACACCTTTTATAAGAGATAGAATCGATTTTATTAAAGGTAATTTTGAGCATAATAAAGCTTTCTCTATAATCATTTACTGCTAAAGGGTTCGCAAAGAGGTTCGCATAGCAACCAGAAAGAAAATGTTCGGCTCGTGTTTTTACCTTACTCAAATTATTAAGCATTAATTGAAAAAACTATGTTTATACTTTTTATTTTTTAAAGGAACATCAGGCCTGAAATGAAGGGAGAGGCCGAGTCAGGCTATGCTTACTTTTATAGCTTATATTGCAATTTTTATGGAGCAAATCTCTACTCCAAGCTGTTCTCGACAACATATGACTTCTCCATATGAAGAGGCGCCGTGTAGTTGTTTTCATTGATGATCGAGCTTGTAGATGAAGCAAAACTCATTTCCAGTGAGGGATTACTTGGCAATGGAATATTATACAGAGAGAGAGGGGCGTTTCAACAATATTGTCCGAAAACTAAGTTTTGAAGATACTCTTTCTTTCAAACGTTGTTCAACGGGACGAAGATTTACGTTGAATTGTTACTTTTTAGAACATCTTAACCCTAGATCCTCCCGAAATAAACTTCAGCTATTGAGGAAAAAGATATTTATTGTGGCGTGTAGAGATTAGTTTCTCTTAGATACAAACAGAGCCTGGCCATTTAAATTAGAAGAAAGTATCTTTTTTCAATTGAAAAGCTTTCAATTACCGATGTTTTAGTTTATTCAGAAACTATGAATGTCTAGACACTACTTTGACGTCATGAAACTGTAAAAATGGAATTTTTAGCTACCTGTTACACGCTGTAAACAATACGCATTGTCGTGTGAATGTCGCTTTCGGACGAGCCCGAAGGAGCACATAACCTAACACCTGTTGGCACGGGCTCTCCTTTTTCATACTACTGTCACCCCATCACCAGTAGGGTTTTAAACGGTGTGATGTGGTGACAAGAGAGACAATGTGGGTACCCGTGTTTAAACTACATATATTCAACATCTCACTGTAAGGGAAATCACTGCGTTTGAAGCTCAAACAAATAAACTTCATCTTGGTAAACATATGTCAAACATATCTCCAAACAAATTCCTCTGTAATGGAGAGCTCGATTTCACAAATGAGATTTTTCACTAATGCTTGCGTTTCTGAATCATTAGAGCGGGACTCGAGTGCACAATTTTTTGGCGAAGATACAAATGGTACATCAACGAAAGGAGATTGGGCAAAAAAAGGTCATAGCAAATCTTGCCCGTATCCGTCCTACATCGAAATGATTGCAACTGTATTGCTTTCGGAGAGGCCAGCAAGCAAAACTTTGCAAGAGATATACAAACATTTAGAAAAAAGATATCCGTTCTTGGAACAAAGAGGAAGATCTTGGAAAAATAGCGTGCGACATACACTTTCTCTAAACGAATGCTTCATCAAGGTACCGAGACAAGACAGCGGGAAGTGCTGTGACTGGACGGTCAACCAAAGCTACCTTAATCGCTTTTCTGTAGGCGACTTCAGAAGACAGAAGCGGCGTCCAAGAACGCTTGCACTTTCACATACAAATAGCTGTTGCAGATACCGTTATCCTCAATTCATCAATGACTGTCATCAGTGGAACAGCAACATCCAATTGCCTAACAATATGATGCCCGACATGCAGCAGATGGGGCTTTCGCAGCAGTATATGTTCAGTGATATTCAATTAGCGAGAAATCAAGCGGAGAGACTTTTGAATTCAGATCATGAACCATACAGTATCAGCTGTGGTGGACAACAGTCAGCAGAACAATCCTTTTACAGACTGAGACATTATCCAGCTTCGAATAACATTGAAACTAATACGGACAAAACTGATTTCTCGATTGTAGATGACTGGCTGTTTAAAGGTTCTGTAGACTTTTCAAAATTGTTGACGGATATAATGTTTTAGAATCATAATCTCATTTGTTATATAAAGTCATGAATTTCTAAAAAACGAAAAATGGAATTTTTCTCATTTCGATCATAATTATTCTTTTGTTTCTCGTCTTTCTACGGGCAACCAAGGGCGTCTTTGCGAAAGCATTTTGACCACACGTGGTGATGTCTTCATTTATCACCCGACAATTTATGAAAAGTATCAGGATACATATTGCAAAAGGAGTAGATTACATAAAGAAAGAATATAACATTTATGGCAATGCTAAAAAGTCAAAACACAGCTTCCAGAAATGGAAAATTTCTAAATACAATGCAAAAGCCGTTACAAAAATTGAAAAGTTTGTTGTATGATTTCAGAATAAATACCCGTGGTACTATACTGGTGTCATTCCTGGCAATACATTGTTTATTTTACAGTAAATGCTAAGAAACGGAGATTTGGCAAAGAGTAAATAGTCGCCTAGAAAGTTTGTTTTTCAAAGATATAAATAATTAGGGTTTCCAAAAAACAGAGGACTAGGGTTTTGATTGGATCTCGTATTCTATTATTCGTATTGTATTCACGAATACCAAGATAACTCGCGCGGTTAAGATACCAAGATAACCTTGCTTTCAAAAGTAGTTTTTTGGAAGTTATTCTTATGGAGCACTGCCCTTGTCATTCCTCTCTATTGGACCACTCCTCGTGATTCCTATGACCTGGATAACAGAGAGCTGGCGACTCTCCTCAGTTCTCCCTCAAGGGACGTTTGTTCATGTCGGTGACTCCAACCCCAGATCTTTGGATCTGTATACTGCAGCTCTATCCACCGAGTCAGACAAACATATTAAGTTTGAAAAGGGCTTGGTTAAAAAGAGGAGACTGAAGATTAGATTAAGCCTAAAATGTCTGATTAAAAAGCTACTTGCGAAGGAAAAAACGAAAAAACGAAAGTGTGACGAAGCATTTGAACATATATAGCAATGTCAAGAATTCGCTATGAGACTGCCTTAAAAAGAAAACTAAAACAAACAGATCCAGCAAACTTCTGAAAGTAAAAAATTTGTTGATATATTCTTATACTGAGAAAAATATGTCACCTGTGTTACGTTCATTAAGTAGCAGTCCCTCCGAAATCGATAACATGGTGATTTGTTATTATGATTTTAAATCAGTTTTTTCATGACAGTGCCACTCAAAACGCGTAAACAATTTGATTGTGCCAGAAATTGGCCCATTTTTGAAATGGCAATAGCAGATTGAACCTGAAAGTACCAGTTCTGGAAGAATTTGTAGAATACCTTTGTACTGTGGACTGTTTTTTCTAGAATCATTGGAAAAAATGGCCACAGACTTATATATGGAACAAAGAATCACAACTCGGAACGTTTAGCAACCATCATAACTTTTTGATATTATATATTGAAAGGTATCATAGACAAGTAACTGATATTGCTGATGTAAGTTCGTTCGCGCAGATAAGAATGATTAGAACTGTACATGTGAGAAAAAGTAGAGAGGGGTTGCAAGTTCTTCCAAAGAAAATGATTGTTATAGAATAAAATCTATTGGCGTATGCTCTAATTCACACGTTATCATAACCAGAGATTGAAAATCAAATTCCTACCAAATTTGCATTAGAGGCTCTAGGTCCGTCAACCTATTGCACCTATTGGTGAAATGGGCGATCTTGACACTAGAAAAAATGTATCTAGTATCGTTAGTTAAAACTTTGCGTTAATTTATACTTTGTTTTTAGACCTTTCTTTGTTATTCTCATTTTGTAAATCAGTATATAAACAGTGATGAAATTATTTACAATTATAGCCTCTTTATCAATTCCTGCCTAATGAGCTTTTTGTATCTGTTAACAAAGAAACTTTCTAACACAGCTCCTTCTAACCGATCTTGACTTAAAACATAGTGGAAATTTATTTCAAGATAATTGTTTATGCTAGAGCAGACCAGCTGCCAAAACAACATATGGATATACGCTTCCCAAGGCAATCGCTTTGTTTTAGTCGTAATGATGTCAAGGTGGGCTTTGGGACATTTAAACCTTTTATGGACAGTTGGAAAAATTCAGTTTGAAACAAAGCAGCCTGTATGAAAAGAGATTTCAGAGCGCAAACCAGGAAACGTTGTCATGTGTCATTCATTATGTTTCACGAATGTTCGATCCGCGGATCGTTTCAGATTGGAATGCACGTTGACATTTATCTCCATGGGGTCTTTGCCTCATGACGCAATTGCTCTATCGTTAAAAAAGTTCTAATCGATTTTGATCGAAAGAAAGAAAATGATTTCAACTTTTTTGTCGATCCGTTTCGATCCGTCGCGGATCAGTCACGTGACCAATTTTGCATCCAAAGCGCTTACGCAACTTGCGTAAGCTTTTTGTATGCAAAAATGATCCGCGGATCGGATCAGATTTTGTGCTGCGTGGAGTGGGTTTTCGGCTTAAAGTGCAGTGTTCCTTAAAACTACTCGTACCTCAAATCTCGTTATTTACATGTTAGCCTGCATGTCTGCAATAGCAATTTCCTTTAACTAAATTAAATAAACCCAACTATTCCCTCTTTCGTAGCCATGGTTTAATCGTAGGATATGAAATAGGCAGTTGCCCAATTCGACATAGTTTGCTTCGTCAATTTTTTCATCTTGATTGAGCAAAAAAGTTGTACCCTGCTAATTTTGACATGACTCGGTAAATTTGATACAAAAATCGGAGAGTCGTTTGCGTAGGTTTAATAGGCCGCTCCAGTAAGAAAATTCATAGCACTTACCTCTCCACTAAAAAGGCCTAATATTTGACAATTTGGGAATTTTGCAAAAATGTAGCAGGAATATTTGCAACCCTCCTTAGGGAAATTCGTCCGATATGAAGGTACGAGCTTTGAATGACAGGATACGCAAATCCTTCATGTAAGAATGGCTTGACAGAGCAAAAAGGGTGGGCCAATCATCTCTGAAGTATCAAAAGACCATTACTGGCTCTCAGTGGGAAAGGAAAAAGATGAGCTACTTTGCTTATTGAGGTGCAATCGATTTATTTATTGTCTTATAATATCGCGTTGTTGCGAAAGGTTTGAGGATTGATTAAATATTTTTTCATCTCAATTCTTTCACTATTTCAAGAAGGTAGTTACTTCTCATTGGCTGAAATGCAGCTTTATAGATGATTCTGTTTTCAAGTTTTAATTAATTGCGATATCTTTCAGTTAAAATTTAATTAGTGCTCGTGGTAAATTAAATTACTTCATGAGTGGAATCACACTTGTTGATTGGTCGATTTTTTATCAAAAGCTGGCTAAAGCCCTTCTATTATCTGTCGAATGCCTTTAAAGTCCATTCTCATAAGCACTAGCCTCATAACCACTAGATAAATAACACAAGCCTGCATATAGAAAGGTTATGCTTTCTCTTTAGACCATTACCACAATTCATTTATAAACAATATACAGTCATCCAAATCTCCCGTCAAAAAAGAGAGTATATTTCTCTTTGTATATTAGAGTATATTAACCATGGCAAGAAGAAAAGCCTGCAGAGAGGAACGAAAAACATCGAGACAGGAATGAAACTGCTTTAATTCGACTGCCTATTGCATCATTTCATTCTGCGGGGTTTGAAAAACATTGCAATTCATTCAGGGCTCATGACTAAAGGGTATTGTAAAAATCTCACGTTTTCTGCAAAAGCAAATCAAAGTAGCAGTCTCACATGTACAATTTTTCATGAATCTCTTGATTCCTCGAATAAAAAATGATTTACTTCCACGACGTTCTCAACGTGGGAAAGTGTATACAGAGAATACTAACTCTCACATCATATTCCTTTTACCACTTTAATAGAGACATTTGTTTACAAGAATCTTGAATGTTTAGCCAGCATAGATATCGTTTCGTCAAAACTGCTGCAAAAGCTGTTCCGATGCTGTCTTTCTATTGCCCGATCCGCTATCCTATTTCTACTAAAATAGTTAAAAAAATGTCTGTTTCGATTTATCTTTTGGATTACTATATATTACATCAGGGATTTTGTCTCTTCGTTATATTTCTTATCGAAGGATATGTGTCGACGATGCTTTCATTTAAGAGCCCCTTTTACATTTGGTGTCAGGTGTGGGATATAAACGATGCTGTATTTCCCCTACTGAACGCTCGCCCTTTGATAAACGCTGCCCACCATTAAATGTCACACTTTCAGCCAGCGATCTGTAATAAACGCTGCCCTCTGATAATTGCAACTTGAAAAGCTGCGTTCATTAGAAAACACACCAAAAAAGAAATAACGAACAGTTTATCTGCTTACTTTTGGAAAGGTATGAAAGTTTTCATGTCACAGACGAGAAGGCTGACGGAGACAGTATGACATTGGCATTCCTAGACACTTCCATAACGTAAACACAACTTTTGTGAACTTTAAAACATTTTTCACATGATCTTTATTACGTGTTTTTGGGAAAAAAACAATTTGTTGAAGTATGTTTTATCTTTTTTATGGCACTTTTCTTGTCGTTCTTTAATTGTCACACTTAATTTTGTATCAGATGCCGTCCTCAGACAAACGCTACCCTCTATTAAACACCGAAACAAAAAAGTTGGATTTTGTAATAAACATTCTTTAGAGGAAATACGGTATACGACATACAGTATTCGAAGTTAATGGAAAAGACCTAAACCTGACACTTTTAGACTCGGACAAGCATTCACTTTTTTTCATTGCTAAAGGCGACGTCTTTATGTCATGGGGCGACCTTTATGTCATGATACCATCATTCCATTAATATGACGGACAGAACATATCATCGGTAAGTCTTTTTTTTATATTATCTGAATAAAGAATGCAGGTCGATTCCTTTTTCAAGATGGGGAGGCATGTAATAGTGCTAGTTACAAACATTGTTTGTTTTCTTGTTTATAACTGTAGCAATTTCTTAATTTTTGCAGAGTTTACTTCCTTTTGTTATCTAATTGCACATTTAGATTAATTAGGGGATCTCCCTAGGGTTTTTCTTGTATCTTCGT